TAGACGCCCTCGGGGTCGGAAATCGGGGAAATACTCATATATCCAAGACTGTAGAAGAGTCAAGCACCCCGACATCTGGGCAGAGTCCTTTCGGCTGGCAATACCTAGCTGTCTGTACAAGTATGCCAGCGTAGCCGATCCCCATGAGTAACCCTCAATCAAATCCAAGCCGTCGAGCACCTCCTGCAGGAGCTTGGGGGTCACTCTACTACCACTCTTGTCGACGAACAATGTGGTAGCCAGCATCACCCACAGCCAGGCACCCGCCTCATCCCTAGCCGGCCGGTCTTTCCCCCTGAATGCCACCGAAATGGCGGCTTCGGACACCGAACCACGCTGCCAGAACGAACTCATGAGTTTGCCCTTGGTGACCGAAAGTATCGACATGCAGAGCCCATGGCAGGCGTCCGAATCCGGGTCCTCAGCGACCACGACCCCCTCCACTGGAACGCCCAAAATGGCCCGGACGTCGTGCAGCATGATGCTCATCTCACCAAAAGGCATGTGAAACGAGTTAGTATCCGGCTGCCATCGCTCCACAAAAGCAGAAAGGAGTGGGGTGTCCAACTGGGTGTGCATGGAGTCGACTAAATGTGACAGCCCAGTCTGGTCGAGAAGAGCTCTAGCATCGGAAGACATCTCCTCACGCCAAGCCTTGAGATTATCGATCGCTCGCACTCTGTTGTGGCATTTCAGTAGCCCCCTCAAATTCCCACTCCACATGCGGGAGGCGACGTGCCCAAGAAAGCTAGGGATGACACTCCCATCAATGGGCCCACCGGGCACTGGGCCTCTAACGATCCAAGGTGCATTATCACCGGTCCTAGCTCGTTTGCTAGTACCTGCATTAAAATACAACATATCTGTATATATTGACTTGCTGGCAGATGCATTAAATAAAATATATTTAATAAAACATATTTTATTAGTTACGTTACATTTTACATTTTACGTTTTACGTTATTATTATAAGCATATATAATTTATAATTATTAATATTATTTTTTGAATTTATAATTAATTACAATTTATTCAACTTACCCTAAATTACAAAATAATTATACTGTAGTTGACGAGCAGGCCGATAGTACTTTTCTAACAGTACCGATAATTTATGTTAAACAACAATAAATAAGTAAATTATTTACCTGATGAGGATGCAGAAGGGCCAAAACGCCCCCCAGCCTGCCGTTGAGGAGCAGGCTGTGTGGGACGAACAGCAGGACGAAATGGCTGTACAACCGGCTGTACCGGACGAACTG